TTTTGCAATTTCATTTAACGCTGTCACTACAACTTTAATACAATGAATGTTTATGACAGTGTTTGTATTTTTTAAATAAAGATCTTCATGTGTTGCTGCATACTTAAAACTCTCATGCTGTATTATGGATTTCAGGTAAAGAAAAACATATTTTTATAGTAACTTTCGTGTTGGCTACATATCGAAATATGCATCAATGTAGATTATAAAATAAACGCAATGAAATACGTGCGCTGATTGGTTTAGAGCTGTGTTTGCATTAGCCTGTGCAAAACTCATCCGAGCTCAACCAATCAAATCATAACAATCAATCAGTCAAAGAGAATTTGCAAATCGATCGTGAATACATTATAGCGAAAAAATTAAAATGTTTGTTTGTTTCGCATACGAGGGCGCAGTGGTCGTGACGCAGCCTGAAGCGCAAGCTAGTGTGAAACGGACACTGGTGCAGATCTTGGTGGTAGTAGCCAGGAGCAGGAACAACCCTCGACCTTCGGTCTCGGGCTTGCTCTGATCTGCTCTCGAGTTCTCCCAAAGGTCTTCTCGGTTTTCATAAGCCTGTGCAAACACAGTTAACATCTTTCATTTCTTAATAACAGGAATCATTGATATGCATGGTGGCTATATCAATCTATAAAATGACACAGTTGTTATGTTTTGAAACAGAATTTATATACTGCCATTTTCAACGGGGTTATACTCTGCAATTTATGGCTTAGGACTCTAACACGAAATTCTCATCATTGATTAAGTAACGATAGCAAAATATTGCTTTAGAAATACTTTACATTAAATACAGTGTGCCCAAATGAACTAGCACACTCAACAAATACGAATGAATATAATTCAATGCCTTTTCCAAAATGATTTTAGTGGGTAAAAGGTTTATGAGAACACATAATCAAGTAATTTTTATTTCGACACATACAAATGTATGAGAAAATGAATTGGAAACTTGTTCAGTAAGGCAGCATATGTTCAATGTTTACTTTTTTGTGACATTCAATTAAGTAAATAATGATAGCTCAATTGCCACAACTAGTCGTTTATGTTAACCCTGTTCGACTGATTACTTATTTGAGAATTGTACTAAGACATTTACTAAGATAAGTTGTATCAAAGTTGATACTGTTGCCCATATTAGAAAGAATATTAAGATCATATAATCCCTTTGCTGGTATGTCAATTCACCAACGATCCCTTTTTCTTTCTTGGTGTCATTTGTTTTTTTGCACGTTGCATTTCCTTTTCGTTTGCTGGTTCCATTTCCTCTTCTTTTAATTGTTTGATTTCTTTTTCTTCCAAGATCTTGTCTTGTCTTTGTTGCCACATGACAATAAAGTTTGGTCATTGATATTTAGTGGAATTGCTTCGATGGAGGAGCAAATGGCTAGTAAATGATTGTAGAAAAACTTAATATGGCTCGATACACTCTCGCTGTTTCTTTTTATGATTCTAAAGTGAGTTTTTAAGAGTTTCTCGTTTGTTTTATTGGTTGCTTTATCAAATGCATTTTGTTTATCCCTGTAATTGCTTCACTAATATTTTTGTTTTTTTCTGTTTCCTTGCGTATAACCGGTAACATATCCCTCCAATCTTCATTTTCTAATGCCTTGTAATATTCAAAAAAATGGCGGACTGAACGTAGAAAATTGGCCACGGATGACAGTTGGACTTTTGCATAAATGACAGCGTGTTTTCTCGTTTCTTCTCGGATGTCTTCAACTCTTTGATTGTTGAAAACGATTGATGATTCTCTTCCCATTGCCTGCCTAGCTCTTCTCCGTGATTGAGCGATTGAAGGGACTCAGAAAATACTCGCATATTTTCAGATAAAGTTCTCAGGGTGTTCTTAAAATTGCTAACTTCACTGTTCATAATGCTTTGATTCGTCTTTTATGCCATTATTTTTCGTTGTGCTAAAAATGTCAAAAATATTCCATACATCATGATTTTTGAAATCGTCAACTTGAACAGTTAAGCTTATTGTAAAAAGAAAAATTAGTGGAACATGAACATCCTGGAATGCAAAACATGAATCGAAATCCTGGAAGCAAAACACGAACAAAAAATCTTTATGCACTAAAATTGCACGTAGATGATTCAGTAAAAAATGCAAACATTGAAAAATTTCTATAATTGTGCAAAGGTTTTTATATCATTATAAAATTGTAAACAATTCATTCTTCTGTGGTTTAATAATACCGTTATTATTAGTTTATCAACACCTCCACTTGCACAAAAAAAAACATCTAAGAAATTTTTCATTTTGCAAATTGTCGTATATGCGTGCGTAATTATTGCGAAATCAAAGCACTATGACCAACGGTGTATGGAAATCATGTGTGCGTTGATAGTCGTCCGAGCAATTCTACTGGAAGCGAATGCCTCTAGTAAAGCCGCCCAAGCTAGCCTGGACAAAGGAGAGGGTAGTACGAAAAGTAACACATTTTCAATTTGAAACTAATGAGAATAACAGTGAAACAGAAAATTATTTCCATAGGAGTGTGATTGGAATTTTTACAGTCAAAAAGATTCATCGACTTGCTAGAGTCCTACTGTGCAGGATGATCCCAGATGAAAATGAACAGGAGCGTAGCTCAAAAAGGAATAAAATTGAACAGTATTAATTGTCCAGTTAAAAATGCTGTGCAAAAAATAATAAAGCAAACCTACGAAAAGAATTATGCGGTTTAGATGAGCATGAGGGAACAAGGGATGAAGAACAGATTTTGTTATGCGTGAGTGAATAATTAGCCAAGAAGTGGAGCGGACGTTATCAAATCCACCACCAACCCCTCTCCCACTTTGAATTTTGGCCTTTTTTAATAAGAATTAGTTCCTGTTATCATTCCTTAGTACGAGGCAAATGCATAAGTGCGTTAGAAGTATTTAGATTTGAAAAGACCGTTTAATTGTGAGAAATAGTTAAAGTCAAATTTATTCTTTAACGTTTTTGTTTTGAAAGTTGATTATGAAAAAAAGTTCTAAACAAAAATTAAAATGTCATAAATAAAATTCACATTGAAGCCTTCACAATTCTTTTGAGCATCTGTAGTAGACACTTTATTACTTTTATTTACAAAATGTTAAAAATATCAACTTTCGGCAGTTTCATAATTTTTTTAACTGAAGCCAATCACTTCACAACGGTATTCAAGTGCAATTAATACTAGTTGATGCGATTATTCTTGTTGTCTCTCTTGTAGGTAATCATCGGTTTCGCTTTTTTCAGCGTTATTGAAAGTATTTGGTTGAAATGATCTTCATCACTATTAGCGTTTAAAACTCACTAAGTCCATCCTCAGCACTCCGCAGTAAAATGTAATCAGTGTAACAACTCGTGGATTCCGTGTTTCTACTTTGGCTTACGAAATTGATAATTTATTGAGTAATAGAACTAACCCACGGATCTAAGATTTTTGTCTGCTGGTTTACCGTAACAATAAACTATTTGGGGATGATACTTACAGTGTTTTTCAAGTTTATAACAATTAAAACGGTACAAACCTTGAGAACGAATACCAATTAAATTCTTTGCCTCCCCTCAACGCTAGGCTATGATCAATAACCCTGATGTAAACAAAGTACATAGATAGATGCATTTGATGTGTCGAAACACGGTTAACTCGAATGACCCGCTCACGAACTTGAAACTACCTTTCTTTCCATTCAATTTATTTTCAGATTTCCATTCGTGATATTTTCTCAAAAGCTTCATCTCGAACGTTTCAGCATGGCTGCACAGTGCGCTTAACAGTTGGAGAAGACAAGTATAAATTGAAACTTACACCTCTCTCAGTCATTGAAGACATGCTCGACTCAGCACGCTTATAAGCCGGAGCTTATGACCTGTCCGGTTTAATTATATTCGGTAAACTACCACGTTGTAGCCAATCCAGCAGAGCTTTGGACTGTTTACATTTCAGTAGAACGGCACTGACCAGTTCACTAAAAATTGCAGGTGACTGTTAAGAAAATATAGGCCTTCTATAGCAAATATTATTCTGTGTAATATTGCACGCTAAGGGTCTTACATCACAGGCCTTGCGGTAAAGGTTATGGTAGACATGAACGGCAACATATCGAACGCACGTATATATTACTTTCTGTTGGAAGTTGTTAGCTTGTGTGTGCTTCACAGCTACGGATACATACGTTTTCTCATATCATTAGGTCATCAGATGGTACGATGCCATCAAATAGTAACTTCATTTCTAATTTTTTTTTGAAAATCTGACAGAATTTTACAAAGCTGTTAAACTGTTCTGGATCCGCCCCATTATCCCAAAGTCATAATCGGAACATTTTAATGTTAAACCATAATATGTGTCACAGTGATTATTTAATTTAAAAATGATTAAATTACATGGACTATGTAACTTGTTGTTATGGGCAACAGTTTCGACTCTTTATAGTATCTTGATATGCTCTTTATTCTTGACTTATGACGTACTCTGTGCTTTGCGTGAAAATTCATCAGTGCCGAATTAAAGCCTGCATGTAAAAGGTTTGTCGCACCCCTTGCTGTTTGACTGCATGCTTAATTTTGATTGGACGGAATTTCGTGCAAGGGTGTGTTGATATTACAGTTCATATTTAAGTAAAACTTTGTAAGTGCATTGCGGTATTTTTTGCCGTACACTTGATATTCACGTCATGCAAAGCATGTAGAAGTGATGTGTGGTGTAACGCCATGAAAATGCGTTCAAGGTTTTTCCTTTCACGTCGTTTGCGCGTTGCTTCGGGGTACCAGTCATATATGTGCATGGTTTTCACACAACATGCCTTCTATGTGCGGATATAGAAAAAATGGGCTTGCACATGATAAGTTTTAATTGCTTTATTATAGTACTGCTCTTGTCAGTTGTTTGAAAACAGTTTCGCTTTTTTCGATAGGAACATCAATAAACCTAAAGGAGTCTGATTGAAGTTTCATCATTGTTTATTTAGCGATTTAAAATGTTCATCGTTGTTGTTTATTTTCTTCATTTAAGGGAATTATCTTGCACAAACATCGGACAGTACTTTTAATGACAGACCTTTGCAAATAATCCTAGGACTTTATATTTGATTCCTGTTGTAAACAAAATTGTTCTAGAATTTTTTGAACGCATTTCATTTTTAATAGCAGGTGCATGTAAATGCGAATCGTGTGCAATTTCTTTGAAACAGGTGTCTATGGAGATGAAATGAATAGAATAGTTTTGTTACTTGGTAACTCTTGGAAGCCTGTATTTTGCTGTAAGCGCTTAGGTGGGTTTTACATCATTGAGTTGAAAAGAATGGTGTATTCAAAAATAAGATACTCATATTGATGGATGCAAATATCACATTCAGCACATCTGAGTTGGCATGATTGGCCTACACAGTGATTCACCTGCTTTATTATTGTATAGACTTTTTCATTGCCTCCACTTACTTCCCACCTCAAATCACCCTGAAATTTGATGCACTCAAAGCTCATGTTTTTACTTTCATTGTGTCTATCAGCTATAAGTCTTGTTTTTGAAGTTGATTTTACTTTTGTTAGCTCAATTGCTCTGTCAAATGATTTGTCCCGAATGAATTGAATCAGATTTAGCAGGCAGGTGTCTACCCTTTTATTGGTCTTTCCTTTTAAGTAATTGTACTTAAACACTCGGTGGAATGCCTCCACAGACATATTGGTGTTGATTCCCATTCCACGTCTAAAGCAATAGGCCCAGAACTCTGTTCTACCGGACCACTCGCGTTGGAAATATTTGTAAAACTCTTTGCTTAAATTTGGAAGTTCTTGCAAAGGGTGCTTCAGGAATGTATTGAACGATGATTCATCTGTTTGCTGCAATACAGTGCGCAACATTTTATAAATTTCTGCTGCCACTAAGGTATCTTTAACTTTAGAGCGTAATTCTTCTTGCCACGCTTGGTCCACATGCCAAGTACAATACAAACGTTTTGGACGTCCACCCATTATTGCCAACCATGCATTGTAATACTGACTTGCAAGATCAGACATGAGCCATTGTGGTGGTAGTACTCCACAGTTCTTCTTCATTTTTTCAAAAAATATGCAAATGTGAGTGAAATCTTCATGGTTGGATAGACACCATTCAACTGGGAAACCAGACCCAAATTCATCCAAAACAACCAGTGATGTAAGAAGGAAATCATACCCAGTTGTACCATGAGTAGCGTCAATGCAAATTCCCTTTCTTGAAAATTTCTCTGCCATGTATTTTTGTAATGGATTTTGAATAACTAGTAAAAAGCCGTCTTTTGTTATATTCACATCATCAGGAGCTGCATCTCCTTGAAACTTAGCAAATAAGATTGGATTTTGTTCGCTTTTGTCCCATTCATGAACCCATGCACGCACACTTGTTTGATCATCACTGTGCTTCTGAATATCATTTAGTGCAAAAGATGTCTTTATGTTGCCAATGTCTTTTTTATCTACCAGATGGTGACGCTTAAATTCTAAATCACTGTGCTTTGTGGCATCTTCTCTGATGTTATTCAAAACTCTGTCTCTGCTAACACCTTGTTGCAGACGAGCTGCAATTTCTTTTCTTCTGCCCTTGGACAGCCATGTGTGCTGCACCTCCTTTTGTGTCCGTGATGTGTGTGACAAATTTCTGCTAGTATCTTCCCATCATCCCTTTTTGTGACCTTTATGCCAGCAGCGCACTTTTGCTGAATTTTACTGGATCCTAGAAATTCAATCATGACTCATAAGCTTGTACTTTTTTGCAGCAGCTTGTTATATTTAATATGTATATGCACAGCAATTACCTTGTGCCTCGATGCTTTTTTTTTCAGATCCTTTTGGTACATAATTGCTTCCTCGACTGCACTGAAAGTATTGCACATTATTCTTTTCCCCATTTCTCTTTCTGTATGAGCATATGTAGTCCTCTTCAATTTTATCTTTCCACTCTTCGAAAGCTGTTCAATTGTTTCATTAACAAAAATCAGATGCTATTCATACTTCAAATAAAAATGCAATTTATAACTGGTGAAAAAGCAGGGTAAAATTCTACAAACCTATCATGTCGTCCAACAGCACAGTTTCAGATTCCATTGCCATGCCATGTGCTTTGCTTAAATGCTCTCTTAGCTGCTGAATCTTCTGACAACTAAGCTTGCAGACTTGGCAATTAGAATTGCCCATCCCGTCATTTACATGCTGCCGCAGCACATGACGATTCAAGTTGTATTGACGAGAAAAAACTAAATGACATTCGGAGCAATGATATTGTTTCTTTCTTTTATTGTCTTTTGTAATAACTGTATTCTCATTTTCTGTAGTGAAGGTCGCAATGTCTTCTATAGTGATGTGCTTGATTTCAGCTGTGATGATTTTGTCCTCTACAGTGACCTTGCTAACAGCTGCAATAGTTTTATCGTCTGTAGTGGTGGACATTTTACCTGTTGTTGCTGTGTTTTCATTTTCTAGTAAAATCCCTTTTTGTAGAGTATTCCAAAACTGTGGTAATACATATGCCAGGTTAACAACATTATCTGAGATCCAACATCCAAGTACAATCCGTAAATATGCGCTGTAATGTGTGGGATTGCTTAGGTATATTGATGGAATATTCTTTGTGGTTGGCTTAGAAAATGATAGCATGCTCTTGAAAAAGGCATAGTTATAGCTTGATATAGCCATCATAATCATTACAACCACGCCACAAACATTGCTACTTGTTCGGAATGGATATGCTTTCGAACAATTGTCTGTGCACTTGTGTCCTCCTCTAACCTGGCATCTGCTATCAGGTTCATGTGTCATTGTTACTGAGTAGTTGGCTATGCTGTCGCAAATATTATGTGCCTTGATGAATTTATCTAAAATTTGTAGAAGAGTGTTTGTTAATTGCCAGCCTAATGAATCCCCATATGTAATGTTTTGTCATTAGTGTCTACATAGCAAAGTACCCAATGGTTTCCGGGGTGCAAATCATCTCCAAGGAATGTGTTGCCATTGCTTTTTTTACCAACATTTATGGCAAAACAGAATTTTGAAATGAATTCATATTTAGCATGGTGTTGGGCTGTTGTGGTTGGTTTTGTTCCATTGAGGTACACATAATATGTATCTGTTTTCTTTTGGTTTAGGTTTGTTGTCAACCAGCATGTGTGGTCACTTGACACCCATCTGTCAACACATAACCTGGACATCTCATTGGATGACAATCCTCGTTCTTTCATAATCTCACTATATGGGGTTCTGTACAAAAGCTTCTGAAAGGCTGTAATTGAGGCAGCTGATGGATGTTCCACCACCATGTCTGGTTTGTTCAATGGTCGTGAAAACCAGGCAATTTCCTCTTCGACTTCTACTTGTATGCTTTTTAAGGTGTGAAATTTCTGCAGATTGGTGATGCAATTGATATCTAACCTTCTTTGTGATGTGTTGATACATGCTCCTTTGCTTTTATTTGATGCCTCAACTATTTTTCTCCATTGTTGCAACTGGTCCATACTTGGCATAGATGTTACATGGCAAGGATTAACAACTGAATCATCATCTGTACTGCAAATTACACCTTTGGTAAACCATTTCTCAATCTTTGGCAACAAAGAATCAAAAGCCTGACCTCTAGTTAGCTTGCTCAGTACTGGCTCTATCTTTTTTGAAGCTTTTTTGAGAGACAAAACCTCCAAATGAATTATGTACATACAATTAACAAAACTAATTTCCATTTCTATATTATGAATTTTTAATGCGAGACTTTAATCCTATGTCATGTCAGGGCCTATATTCATGTTGCCTTGCACCCCCACCCAATTGCACTGCAAAGGTCTGAACTAAATAACCTAAATAACTGCATAAAATTTGCAAGTAGTGCAATGCAGTGGAAGTTCCGGGGTAAGTCAGAATATGTTTTTGTTTAGTAGCTTATTATAAATTTAAAATACTATAATAACAACACTGCTGATATTGTTATAATTATTACCAATTATTTCAAAATATTGCCAATACGGCAGTTGTCAAGTAGTTTCATGTATTGTGACTTACTCTGCAGCGAGAGTAGTGTTTGCAATTCAGTTAATGTATGTGCATATGCTTAGTGTGATGAAGCAATTAAACTTGCAATACCTTCGTATTGTTATTCCACATACCGCTTTTCACGAATAATAAAGAACTTAAAACGTCAAGATATTTAGCTTTATTATAGAGCAATACAATGGAAGGAGAACAAGAAAGTTGACAATGCGCATACGATGATGTTTTTTTACAAAAAAGTTAAAGTGGGTAAAATCGTATTTCGCGGCAAGACGATAACACAATTCGCGCGCGTAACGATGGTGACATTTAATATTTATCTTTCAGTTCACGTTTCACGTGACAAATTTCAATATGGCTTCTGTGCGCCGATCTCTCGATTTAGCTGCAAGTCATTCCTTAAAAATCCGCCATATTTGTTTTATCAATTGTAGTTTTACCCCAGACGTAGGTTGTAATTTTTACCCTCTACTTTGATTCACCCCATCTTCAAGGTAAAGAAATTTTCCCACTTTTTGGTGTAATTATTACCCCAGAACACCAAAACTCTTCGTACGTTAAATCCTAGAATTGTGCAATGAAGTGTTCGATTCTCTGTAAAAAAATTTTTGTGATCTTCAGGTGTATATTTAAAAATACTAATGCATCATCTTTTGGTTTGTCTCGGATATTTTTAAACTCTTTAACAAAATCATTATCATCGTAAGAAACTGAACTGCTCAATTTTGTATTCTGGTAGAAAGATTGAAGTGACTCAGCAAAATTCTCCAATTTTTGTAGTTTTTCAAGATGGTTTACAAAAAGTTCAATCTCACGTTCATTGCTGGTTGCCGTCTCGTGCCCATGTCATTGTCATTGAAGTATTTATTTTGTTATAATAAGAATATGATCATATCATTGTAATGGCGGATAAATTAGCACCTCATTTACCAGATTAAAGAAAAACTGCAAAAAATTTTTAAATGATCTAAATCTTACAACCCTTGTTATTGTTGGGCTTCTTAATTTGTGCTTATTAAGGCTTATTGGGCTGTTTAAGGCAAGAGGAGATTCTCGTTTATAGTTCTTTTGAACCATCGTAAAGAGAAGCAGTTTGCTATTTATATTCTAATTGTCATCTTTGTTGTGTTGGTTAGTTGTTTTTGTCGGTATCATTATTTGAAATAGACTGCATTCTTAGTAATTAAAATACCCTAAAGTCATCATTGGAACTTTTTAATTAAAAACACAGTAGGTGTGTCGAAATGAACAGGTGCACAAAAAAAATACAATATATTGTTAACATTCTTAACATTTGATTGCATACTATAAACATTAAGTTTCGTGGAGAATTAAAATAATATAAATTTATCGGCGACATCATGTTCTAAATTTAAGTCCATGCATTGTATATAGATGTAACTGTCTGTACGTAATACAGCTATCTTATGATACCCTTACCGGACTCGCCATGTTTAGTACATTGTTTCAATTTCAAACACTGACTACAGCAATTTTTCAGCTTTTTTGCTATAATTTATATACGTTTTTGCGTCTTCATGTGCGATAGCATGCATGTGACGACACTTATATACATGATCTTTGTATGATATATTTTTACAAATTCAAAACCACAAATTTTAAAGTACTTTGAAATGATTCGATCATAATTTCAGGGAAATACACTCACGTATTTATAAGATTTCTATTCGAATCCCACACAATCACAAAACAAGTTTGAAGTTTACCTTCTTTCTCTTCCTCTTAACATGGTTTATTTAATGAATATAATATTCTTCCAAACTTCCCTTGCGTGTTCTTTCTCTCAGAAATTATATATCACACCATAGTGACCACTATTCTCAATCCATTCAGCTTGTAACAAATTGCTATACACTCTTGCTTCTCAAGGCAAATTGATTTATGCTGAATGTTTAACACTTTTGGTCACTGACTTATATGATTGTCCTGGGTAGACCGTATTCTCTTTACGATACGCACAGTGAACCAATGTATCTGGATCGATAATTGTTGTAATCTTGTCCAACGATTCTTTGAAGTCAAACATACTTTAGGTAAATTTGTATACATAGCTACAAGGGTCCTAATGTATTTGTCTGATGGACATCTAGTGTAGGAGATACGTTTGCGTTAAAGCAGAAGATCTGCGGGAATCTGATGTTACATATGCAAGTATTTGTACTAACAATAATTGTCTGGTGTTTAAGTTGTGATGGTGTGGTTGGATTTTGAATGTAGAATCAGAAAAGTGTTTTGGTTGACACAAACTTTATTACTAAATGAATCTAAATCTTTCAACATTAAACTTTGTATAAGGCCATGGATAAAAGGTTTTATTAATAATAACGTTTCATCTTTAACTTAAGACAAAACATTGCAATGTATTACACATAGGAAGTTTGCAAACATATATACTAATTATGCGATATTTAAAGATTATTTGGTTATAAAATGTGATGATAACAATGTGGTGGGATTTGTGTAAAAGAATAGAGTGGGGTTAAATTGAATTGGTTAAGGTTTAATGGTGATAGAACTGCCTTGCATGGACATTGAGAGTATGGTTAAGCTTGGAGAAAAGAGGCTTTCGTGGATGGATAGCTCATATGCTTTAGGAGTAAAGTTATTATTAATAAAATATTCTATCCATGGCCTTATCAAAAGTTATATTTTCGGCAAATATCTTTATATTAAGAATTTGCTTTCCGCCTGCAGGGCAAATCTATTGTCACAATAAGAATGATTGTTTATCTACATATCATGTGCAAGCATGCCATGCAAGTTCATGTCTCATAGAAGCATCTGAAAAATCTAACTAATTTGAAACTCGTGGGACTCCTTAAACATGTTGAATGAAACACAAAATGCCAAAATTAAAAAAACTATTACAAACTGCATTGAGTTGTCAGTTGTATTTTGTTGGGGCTACAAAATAATCCTAAGTTGGAAGTTGCCTTAATAATATTTAATTTTGTGAATTTTAAACTAAAATAACTCCGCCAGAAAATTTAATTTTTACATGTCTTAAATAACTTGGCTGGATATAAGGCCGAAAGATTATATAGGATTTTATTATATGGCAAGCGTCACTTCCGGAAAAATGGCGCACTTTGACTGGCTAAAAAACATTTTTGCCGGTCCATTATTTGCCGGTAATCGACCACGGTCCAAAACGCATAATCATACTGTCAAATGTAGACAGACTTCGTAATGCAAAATGCAAAATAAACAAAACAAAAAACTATTTAGGAATGTAATTCGAAGAAGAAACATTTGACAAACAGTTTAACTATCCAGACGATACAATTAAAAACGATATATTTTTATGGACAAAAACTAGAAAAGTGAAAATCAACCCATAAAAACAGCAAGGATGAGAAAGAAAGCAAGCTTAGTTTCAGGTCAAATAATGCCATATCATTAACCTTTACATAACCTCGCTTTCCCCGTCTTTACTGAGAAATATCGGACCTCTGTCATTTTGTAGAAACCTCGCCTTATGGGCTCGGTCTTTACTAAAACACCTCGGTCCGTTATTTCTCCGTAAAGACCTCGCGCTTGGTTATTAAGGGCTTAATAATAATTACTGCTTAAAAAGATAAAAAAATAAAATTGGCAGCCACTTCTAGGTGACTATAAGTGGCGTAGCCAGCCCGCAAATTTGGTCGTGCTGTGTAAATTATTTTGTGTTCACTTGCTGTAAAAACAATAGATTCTAAAGAAATAAACAACGATAATGATCGGAAATTTACATAGCACGACCAAAATTGCGGGCTGGCTACGCCACTGGTCCTATTAATGTTTTACCCACTAGTCCTATTAATGTTTTCATGCAAAAATTCATATATGAACATGGCAATCTTTAGTGAAAGCTAATCGATTTAGTTTGAGAACCATCTAAGTTTACACTTTATTGAAGGGAAGGGACATCTGGTTTCTTTTTAAAAGTAGAAAAAGCTGAAGAAATCAAGTGGTCGACGAACTCATTTCCACGCCCGTTTCTTTTTCTATTTCCTTCAGCTTACTCTGCAACCATTCGTCGACAAAATTTTTATCATTGGCGTTATTAGGAACCGCTTTTATGGTGCTACGAATGTCAGGTATAAAGCCAAAGAACTCTTGAATTTTATGAACGATTTCTTTGCTTTTCTCTTTCATTACTTGAAAATGATGTTTTCTATATTTTTCAAGATCATTTTTTGATCCGAGCAAGCAGCTTATATCTTTCTCAAGGAAAAAAATGAATTCTGTTATTCCACAAACGCTATTGATATAGTGCTGCAGTGAATCGATCAGCTTCGTGTTCACGACTGAAACGTTTTTCTGCCTCAAATCTATCTCTTTTTGAAATGCTGTTGCCTTTGCTAAGTACTCCTTTGCTTTAGATTCAAAATGATGAGAATCTTCCTGCTGTATATCTCCTTCTTTATAAAAATGAGTTGCATTTTCGTTTTGTTTCTTCCTAAATCCAGATTTACTAGAAACTTCCAGCTGTACATCTTCTTTTTTATGACAATGAGTTGTATTTTCTTTTTGTTGCTTCTTTTCAGATCCAGAAGGTTTCTGCTGTATATCTTCCTCATGATTAGAAAAAAATTCTGAACATTCGTTCGGTTTAGAAGAATGGTCTACATGTTGCACGACGTTGGTCATAACTACTTTTGCATTTTTTTCCCACTTGTTAATTTGCGTTTTCAAATCCTCATTCTTCTTCAGTTTTTTAACAACAGCTTTTGTCGTGTTAGGACGCTCTTCCAGTTTTATCAACTCATGTATTTCTTGGACTTCTTCTGCTATCTTTTTGCTTTCTTTAATATCTTCATTGATATCTTTAAGCCACTCTTCGTCAGAAAAGCTGTTGTAGTATTCAAATAAAGTCTGAATAGAAGTCAGTAAATTTTCCACCTTCGGTAAGTGTGACTTTACATATTTAACGGCATTATTTCTTGTCTCATCTAGTATTTTTTCATACTCCAAAACATCATTAGATTTGTTGTCTGTTAATGATCTGTTCAATTTCTTATGGTAGTAAAGAGACTGAAGTGACTCTGCAAAATTTTTTAGTATCTTTATTTCGCCAAGATGGAATGAGAGAGTCTTAATCTCATGTCCAATGATGTTTTCCTCATTTTTGTTACTCCCTTGTGCTTCCATTCTCTTTGAGATATCTGTAATAAAAATGTAATGATCATTGTACATAATGGTGGATAAATCAAGCAAGTCACGCATCTAGAAACGTTATGATTGTTTACCAATCTTCAGTTTTAAAAAAGAAGATAAAAATTCTTAAATGATATTGGTTTGAAATAATAATATTCATATACAAAAAATGAAATGATCCATTGAACTTTTGATTTATTTTGACTCTTACTTGTTTCAATATTTAATTCAAGTTCTATATTTTCAATATTTTCTGTTTATTAACACAATGATATCAAGATGATATGGTTAAATAATGCAAAAATTGTCTCAATCTTACAAGTAGTAGTAGTAGTAGTAGTAGTAGAACTTATTAGCCATTTTCCCAGAAAGAGCTTTTCAGTGAACTATTGCAAGTTTAAAAACTATTTTAAAAACTCAGTACAATTTTTCAGATAATATGCATGCAACATATTCTACAATATTTAAATCAAGAATCTAAAAATCTGTTCATTAAAGCCACTTGAAATTCTTTTTTAAAAATTGACAAATTTTTTTTTTAGATATTGTTTCCAATACTACAGTTCCACAGATCAATAGCTCTAACTAAAAAGATCGTTGACCTGTGGATGTTCTACAGAGTTTTTCTTTTATTTTGCTGGAGGATCAAAGTCTGGTATTATATCGATGTGTTTGCCCACACGTGTTTGTCTTCCTGGAACACAAATAGGACGGTGCTTGACCGTTCATACATTTTAAGTCATGATAGCGTCATTAAACACAACTTATCAGATACTGGAAGACATTCAGGGTTTCAACGTCGGGGTTATATGCTCAAATTTTTTCTTATTGTCCACATTCTTGCAGCAAAATTCGGTACTTGCTGTAACTTAGCAACATTTCTCTTTGTTGTGTTTGGTCACACAATGGAACTAGGATATAATTTGCTGAAGACTAATAAGTTGAGAATATCTTCTACGTGTTCATTATTGAACAGATGCCCAACTCCTGAGATCTGGCATAACGAGTAATTACAACACTTTACCACATTATTTATATGCTCATCAAAGGCGAGTTCTCGATCCAAAGTTACGCCAAGATCCTTACTGATGGTGCGGGAGACTCTCCCAGAAACTGATTTATCAATAATTTATTCCAACCACTCCATCCCGCAACGTTATCCAAATCCCGCTTAAGCTTTTTGCGTCCGTTGTCCAAACTATTCCAATTCGCAGACATAAACAATTTGGTATCGTCAACATACGATTCAGTATTGGCGAATTTGGGCATATTTGGTAAATAATTGACCCTTGTTGTAAGATAGTTGCGTTTCTTACATTAAACATGCAAATAATTGCTTTGGAACGGTACTTTTGTACAATACGTGCTTTGTTTTCCTATTTAATGATTTACATATGCAGCTGCAATTTTCATGTTTATTATAAGACAACCATCTACTTCAGTAGAAGAATCGAACATGTATTTGTATTATGTGTTTTAAGCCGATGTGTGTATAAAAGTATAAAGGTGATGAAAATTTAATGGCAATCCCGCCACTCGAGAAGTGTGAAAGATAAAATTTGTCGTACTCTGATGATGATTCAATGATTATTCAATTGAATGATTCAATTCAAACGGTGTTTTTGATCATTAACGATGTGTTAGCTATCCTAAGCAACTGTGTTACTGCACTATGACTACGTATCTTGAGGTGCGGCTCAGTAGAAAATGAAAATTAAAAAATATAGAGTTGTTCATAGAGTTGTTTATAAAGATATTCTATAATATAGCATATCCCTGACGAATTCTATATTAGTTTATAATACGCCCGGACGCTCCCCATTAATTTATCTAATTTCCTTATTATTGTTGTAATTTATGTATCATATTACTTTTATATAAACCTAAGATTATGTAGGGTTATTATAATCATCGATTAAAAGGACATATAAATGGTAAAATCTGCAGCCACTCTCAAGTGATTATCAACGAGTCCAATAATTAATTTTCATGCAAAATTTATAAAACAACATGCCAAAATTTTATTGTCGAATTGAAGTTATTAAATCAAAAACCATCTGAATGATCATTTTTTTTATACAGAGGCCTTGAGTTCATTCGTTATTAGAAATAGCGACAAATAAAAATTCAATTCGCGCAATGAATTTATTTCATCACGATTTACAATTTCCAGATTATTTTTTACCCAATCCTGAACACAATTTTCGTCAATATCAGTCTTGGGAATCGCGTCTAGCGAGCTCCGAATGTTAGGTATAGAGGTAAAGCACACTTGAATTTGATATTGTTCATAGAGTTGTTTGTAAAGATATTCTATAATATAGCATATCCCTAACGAATTCTATATTAGTTCAAATTACGCTCAAACGCTCTCCATTAATTTATCCTATTTCCTTATTATTGTTATATATGTATCATATTACTTTTATATAAACCTTGTATTATTTATTATTTCACTTATACTGAAGATGGCATCATGAGATGTCGAAACATGTCTAGTTTAAAAAAACTCGTCGTATATATTAAATGCAAATTCTATATTAATGATATTGTGATGCTGGTCATATAGCAAATATTTAAGAATTGCCTATCTGCTTAAATTACCTGAACCAGTTCAAAAGCTTTGGAGTTTCTTGGTTATATAGCTGTGTTGAGCTTCGCTCTTCTTTTAGGAATAATAGAGAAATAAAAATAACAAAATTAATATACCTTGTCGAACCCCTACTATGCTATTTACACTGAAATCAATAAATATGATTGGACGAAACTGCAAGTGAAATATTTTATTGGATGATTCCCATGTACCAACATTTATGTATAAACAAGTATAATAATTTACCATAAAGAAATGATTCTTTGTAGGCTCACGAAACTTATGTTTTATATTTTTTGTAGTTTCAATTTGATTCCTTCTTTGAGCCGAATAATATGGTAATAAAAACAATGAATTATATTCATGTAAAAAAGGTTGAATGAGTGTTTTGATCTGAACAATTAGAATAAACACAGCTGTACGTTCAAATTATTTGAATTCCTAAGTTAAAGAGCTTTCCTGCGTATATCAAACAGAGTGATATTTTGAAACATAATATTAATTTTAAATCGCAAGGATTAATTAACCAATGAAATGATGCATTAAAGATCATATAAATAGCACTTTAGTTAAAAGTGAGAAGAAATGATGCTTCTTTTATTAAATATTCAAGATCATGTTTACAGTAAACTTTATCACAACGCAATATGTAAAAAGAGAACAAATATTAAACGTATTTTATTTATATTCAAGCCTTTTATCCCAACCTTATTGCTTTTATTTACACAAAGATCACTTAAATGTGCTTATTTCAAATATCTATAATTGACTTAGCTCTAATGCTGCCAAATGTATTTTGAAATTCTTTCATATAAATCTAGCAGCTTAAAGACGGTGCTTTTATGAAGTAACAGAAAGACTACGTTCTGATTTAGTTCTTTTGAACCATCGTAAAAAAACGAAATTTGCTACTATATATTCACAGTGTCTACTTTGATGTGTTAGTTGGTTGTTTTTGTCGGTATCACCATTTGAAATGGACGGCATATTTGATAATTAAAATACCTTAAAGTCACCACTTGAACTTTTTAATTTAAAACGCAGTAGGTGACTCCCATAGTGTCGAAATGAACAGCGACACTATACAAATTCGAACTATTCAAATTCAATATGTTGCTAGGTAAGTTCAAAGAATAAAAGCTTTTTCAAAATAATATTTAACAAAGTTTTTCGGCATAAAGTGATGAAATTAACATGGATGTGTTGATAATGTTCCGAAATTTGCATCTTGTATACACATACCATCGGTATTGACTTTACAAAAGATTAAAAGATTACTTGTAATATACGTTGGTTAACATTTGAAACAAATATTACATTGATATAACTGTCTGTGTTTACAGGTACCCCCCTAATCAGATTGGACGATTTGTCAAGTGTAATATTTCATTTCAATTAAAATCACCAATTACAGAAATTTTTCATACTTTTCGCAATAAAGTTTTGTCTCGTCATGTGAGATGCACGTACGTGAGGCACGCATGATAGTGTACTTCAATTTTATATTTTTATGCACTGAATTTACAAACAAATATTTTACATTTAAAAGTGTTCATCATGACTCCAGAGTAAAATAATTACGCATTGCAACATCTTGATGATTGGTTTGACCAATTTTATTATTGTCTATACGAGAGCACAATTCTCCCAGTGTGTTGAATGGGTGTTCAATAAATTTCCTTAGCTATTTATAAGTTCTATTTTTTAATCAGTAAACACGATATTTCAATGAACAGTTGTAGCTAAAATCGAGTTCAAACGTCATTTCCAAATTTTCTTCATCAAGGGACTTTTTATCCTACAACTAAAAGCTATATGGTTTACAAATCGTAGGTTAAGATCTTGTGCCACTGCAAACTGTAAAAGACCTGAATTGTCTTTATTCAAAAATTACAAAAGAAAAAAATGGGCGCACTTGGTTGAAATTTGCAGAATAAAGAAAAGCTTATAATATTTCTCAGATAAAATAGGCCCTCATACTGCTGGAGAGACTCGCTCTATATAATCACTCCATATGTAATCACCTATGTAATTGCTAAAAACGTAACTCTAGCATTGGAGATAACTCGCCTTACTGGGAATGCTCGATCCATGTAATTAGGTTCTTAGCTTTTATTTTATTAAATTGCTAAAGAGGCTCTATGTTGAGTTGTCAATGATTCTAATAAAGTTAGTAATGAATTCGATCGTGTCACTCATACAGATTTTTAATGGTACACTCATAAATTGCATGCACACTACTCTTAAAATATTTCGTAGAGTCATTCTTGTATTCGGAAAATGCTTCAATTTGATTGGCTACTCTACCCGCTATCTATTAGAAAGCATAGTTAGCGAGTGGCGAAAGAATTGGGTTTCACCGTTTTGGGTTTCACCACTATTATTATTATTATTGAAAAACATATGTAAACGGTAGGGCTTGTAGGCACCTGCTTTTTAAATGACCTTATAATTTCCACATATATAAATTTTATTACATTAGAGGTCATTAATAAATTGTGCTATTAATTGGCTATTATGAATGCATACAGGTTTAATGTAATTCATACTATGAGAAAAAAAATTATTAATGATGCAATACAAACATTACATATTCTAGCCATACTTGCAGGAGTGATTTTTACACTAAAATGTTTTAAATAATTTTTGCTGGACGTAAGTGCGTAAGCTTATGTAAGGTTATAATCATCGATTAAAAGGACATATAAATGATAAAATCTGCAATCACTCCCAAGTGATTATCAACGAGTCCAATAATTAATTTTCATGCAAAATTTATAAAACAACATGCCAAAATTTTATTGTCGAATTGAAGTTATTAAATCAAAAACCATCCGAATGATCATTTTTTTATACAGAGGCCTTGAGTTCATTCGTTATTAGAAATAGCGACAAATAAAAATTAAATTCGCGCAATTAATTTATTTCATCACGATTTACAATTTCCAGATTATTTTTTACCCAATCCTGAACACAATTTTCGTCAATATCAGTCTTGGGAATCGCGTCTAGCGAGCTACGAATGTTAGGTATAGAGGTGAAACACACTTGAATTTGATATTTTTCATAGAGTTGTTTGTAAAGATATTCTATAATATAGCATATCCCTAACGAATTCTATATTAGTTCATAATACGCTCGGACACTCCCCATTAATTTATCTTATTTCCTTATTATTGTTGTAATTTATGTATCATATTACTTTTATATAAACCTTGTATTATTTATTATTTCACTTATACTGAAGATGGCATCATGAGATGTCGAAACATGTCTAGTTTAAAAAAACTCGTCGTATATATTAAATGCGAATTCTATATTAATGATATTGTGATGCTGGTAATATAACAAATATTTAAGAATTGCCTATCTGCTTAAATTACCTGAATCAGTTCAAAAGCTTTGGAGTTTCTTGGTTATATAGCTGTGTTGAGCTTCGCTCTTCTTTTAGGAATAATAGAGAAATAAAAATAACAAAATTAATATACCTTGTCGAACCCCTACTATGCTATTTACACTGAAATCAATAAATATGATTGGACGAAACTGCAAGTGAAATATTTTATTGGATGATTCCCATGTACCAGCATTTATGTATAAACAAGTACAATAATTTACTATAAAGAAATGATTCTTTGTAGGCTCACGAAACTTATGTTTTATATTTTTTGTAGTTTCAATTTGATTCCTTCTTTGAGCCGAATATTATGGTAATAAAAACAATGAATTACATTCATCTAAAAAAGGTTGAATGAGTGTTTTGATCTGAACAATAAGAATAAACACAGCTGTACGCTCATGTTATTTGAATTCTTAAGTTAAAGAGCTTTCCTGCGTATATCAAACATAGTGATATTTTGAAACATAATATTAATTTTAAATCGCAAGGATTAATTAACAAATGAAATGATGCATTAAAGATCATATAAATAGCTATACACTTTAGTTAAAAGTGAGAAGAAATGTTGCTTCTTTTATTAAATATTCAAGATCATGTTTACAGTAAACTTTATCATAACGCAATATGTAAGGAGAGAACAAATATTAAACGTATTTTATTTCTATTCAAAACTTTTATCCCAACCTTATTGGTTTTATTTACACAAAGATCACTTAAATGTGCTTATTTCAAATATCTATAATTGACTTAGCTCTAATATTGCCAAATGTATTTTGAAATTCTTTCATATAAATCTAGCAGTTTAAAGACGGTGCTTTTATGAAGTAACAGAAAGACTACGTTCTGATTTAGTTCTTTTGAACCATCGTAAAAAAACGAAATTTGCTACTATATATTCACAGTGTCTACTTTGATGTGTTAGTTGGTTGTTTTTGTCGGTATCACCATTTGAAATGGACGGCATATTTGATAATTAAAATACCTTAAAGTCACCACTTGAACTTTTAATTTAAAACGCAGTAGGTGACTCCCATAGTGTCGAAATGAACAGCGACACTATACAAATTCGAACTATTCAAATTCAATATGTTGCTAGGTAAGTTCAAAGAATAAAAGCTTTTTCAAAATAATATTTAACAAAGTTTTTCGGCATAAAGTGATGAAATTAACATGGATGTGTTGATAATGTTCCGAAATTTGCATCTTGTATACACATACCATCGGTATTGACTTTACAAAAGATTAAAAGATTACTTGTAATATACGTTGGTTAACATTTGAAACAAATATTACATTGATATAACTGTCTGTGTTTACAGGTACCCCCCTAATCAGATTGGACGATTTGTCAAGTGTAATATTTCATTTCAATTAAAATCACCAATTACAGAAATTTTTCATACTTTTCGCAATAAAGTTTTGTCTCGTCATGTGAGATGCACGTACGTGAGGCACGCATGATAGTGTACTTCAATTTTTATATTTTTATGCACTGAATTTACAAACAAATATTTTGCATTTAAAAGTGTTCATCATGACTCCAGAGTAAAATAATTACGAATTGCAACATCTTGATGATTGGTTTGACCAATTTTAATTTTGTCTATACGAGAGCACAATTCACACAGTGTGTTTAAAGGGTGTTCAACAAATTTCCCTAGCTATTTATAAAGTCTGGTTTTTAATCTGCAAACACGATATTTCAATGAACAGTTGTAGCTAAAATCGAGTTCAAACGTCATTTCCAAATTTTCTTCATCAATGGACTTTTTATCATACAACTAAAAGCTGTATGGTTTACAAATCGTAGGTTAAGATCTTGTGTCACTGCAAACTGTGAAAGACCTGAATTGCTTTTATTAAAAAATCACCAAAGAAAAAATGGGCGCACTTGGTTGAAATTTGTAGAATGGAGAAAAGCTTATAATATTTCTCAGATAAAATAAGCCCTCATACTGCTGGAGAGGCTCGCTCTATGTAATCACTCCATATGTAATCACCTATGTAATTGCTAAAAACTTAACTCTAGCATCGGAGATAACTCGCCTTACTGGGAATGCTCGGTCCATGTAATTAGGTTCTTAGTTTTTATTTTAATAAATTTCTAAAGAGGCTCTATATTGAGTTGTCAATGATTCTAATAAAGTTACTAATGAGTTCAATCGTGTCACTCATACAGATTTTATATGTTACACTCATAAATTGCATGAACACTACTCATAAAAATATTTAGTAGAGTTATTCTTGTATTCGGAAAATGCTTCAATTTGATTGGCTACTCTACCCGCTATCTATTCAACAGCATAGTTAGCGAGTGGCGAAAGAGTTGGGTTTCACCGTTTTGGGTTTCACCACTATTATTATTATTATTGAAATACATATGTAAACAGTAGGGCTTGTAGACATTTTCTTTTTAAAATGACTTTTTTGAATTCTACATATATAAATTTTATTACATTAGAGGTCATTAATAAATTGTGCCATTATAATCATTAGTAAATTGTGCTATTAATTGGCTATTATGAATGCATGCAGGTTTAATATAATTCATACTATGAGAAAAAAAATTATTAATGATGCAATACAAACATTACATATTCAAGCCATACTTTCAGGAGTGATTTTTACACTAAAATGTTTTAAATCACTTTTGCTGGACGTAAGTGCATAAGATTATTTAGGGTTATTATGATCATCGATTAAAAGGACATATAAATGATAAAATCTGCAATCACTCCCAAGTGATTATCAACGAGTCCAATAAATAATTTTCATGCAAAATTCATAAAACAACATGCCCAAATTTTATTGTCGACATGAAGTTATTAAATCAAAAACCATCCGAATGATCACTATTTTTGATAGCAAAGTGGTCTTGAGTCCGTTTGATACTAGAAATATCAACAAGAATTGACAACAATTATTTGTCCGTTAGATAACAATTCGGCAAGGAATTTATTTCATAACGATTTGCAACTTCCCAATTATTTTTTAGCCATTCCTGAACACAACTTTGGTCAATACCAGTCTTGGGAATTGCGTCTAGCGAGCTCCGAATGTTTGGTATAATAGTTAAGCACACTTGAATTTGATATTTGATGTCTTTGCTTTTCTTTTTCGTAGCCTCAAAATGACTTTTATTTCTTTTTTGACGATCAGAATCAATCACTTTGATGCAGTTTTCTATATCTTTGTGAATGAGAAAAAAGAAAGCCGCTATTCCGTTAGCACTGTCGATGAGCTTGCTCAATGCATTCAACATATCTTTTATCTCGTCTGAAAAGTGTTTTTGCAACCCTTCCTCACTTTGATCTTTCGATGAGGCTCCTTTATTTGAATTTCTTTCTCCATTATATAACTTAACAATAGAATTAATAATGACATTTGCATGATCTTTAAATGATTTCTCTTCCTTTCGGCACTTATCTGTATTTTTTTTGTAATTGTCTTCCAACTCAAGTTTTTTAAGAAACGTTTCTGTCTGCATCTTATTAACTTTTGCTACTGACGCCAACATCTCAGATAACCATCCAACTACTTCTACCTTTTTTGCGTTTTCCTTAACATCTTTAATAATACCTTTTATTTCCTTTTCCCATTCTTCGTACGAATCATCGTACTCTTCAAAGAAATTCTGGATAAACGTTAACATTTCTTCCGTTAACGGCAGGAGAACTTTTAAAAATAAAAATGCATCTTTTGTTGCTTGTTCTAGGATTTTCTTAAAATCATTAGGATACTTGTCTGTAGCTGAGCTGGCTAATTCCTTGTAGTTGAAAGAGTGAAGACAGTCAGCAAAATTCTCCACTTTCAGAATATTTTTAAGATGGTCTGGAAAATCTTCGTAAAAATGTTCAAGTTCCTTCTGTTCCTCTTTGTCTTGTGCCGTTGCCATTGTCTTTGAGTTACCTATTGTGATTAAAAATTTGATGATGTCATTATTATGGTCAATAAATCGAGAATATCACACACCTCCTTTAACAGTTTTTAGCTCCCAATCTGTGAGCTGATTAGAGTAAAGAAAATAAAAATGCTGTAAGATATTTCTTAGGGTGTAGCAGCCACTCCCAATAATTTCAAATTTGAAAAGTTCATCAAAAATATAAAAAATTTGGTTTCTGCACTAAGATTTGTTAAATAATTTTGTTGTGTCACTAAACGAAGTAAACAATATATTGTAATTGTCCCTGACAGTTCATTTTCACAATTGATGAAAAGTCATTTTTAGCTTATGTCAGTATCTTCAATGATATTTTGATACAGGTGATAAATTAAAATTTCAAGAAGTTGGTTGAATTACCTGAATCAGTTCAAGAGTTTTGCAGTTTCTTGATTGTGTTCTATAGTTGTGCTGAGCTTCTCTCTTCTTTTAGGAATGATGTAGAAATGAAAATAATGAAATAAATAATGCCTGTCGAACCCCCGCAAAGTTGTTATGATTAAAATGTACTTACACGATTGGACAAAAAAATGAGTGAAGTATTTTATTGGATGAACCACATGCCCACCTTTATTGCTAACAACATTTCAATATGAATGTTGAATAAGTTATTTTAGCTACACAACATACCGATGAATGTTTATAAAAGTTATTTAGTTTTCGCTCAATTGCTTCTTTGCAAGTTCTTGTAAACTAACTTTACGGGAAATTTTCTAACTCGCACATTTTGGTAGAAAAAATGCACATGCATTTTGTGCAGCTAACGAATGACTGTGTGTACGCTTACAGTTAATGTCTATCAAATTTCAAAACTGGAATCTATTGCAATGCACAAGATTTGTAGATTTTCTTTGATTTTCTCTTAAGAAAAAATCCAAAAATGGCAAATGTGATTGATTGCATGAAAATTGATACTTCAATAGAAATTTTGCCGCCGTGAGTTAATTGATAGTTTTGTCAAAACAACGAATTCCACACATTTGAAATTCCTGTTATATTTATAACTACTGATAATTTTTTAAGATTATGCGTCACCGCAAAAGACAGCCTTCTTAATAGTTCGTGTTTTCCTATTCAAAGACCGAACTTGGAACAACAAGCGAGACTGCAAATGATTTTGATTTACATGTTGATGACCCTCTTTTAATGAATAATGATCGTATTCCTTACACATCATGCTACTGCTTGAAGTCGAAGAAGAGGATTAAATGACTTCAAAAGTTGAACACATAATATAAAAAGTGTAAAGCAATGTTGTAGAAGAAAGTACAAATGCTGGAGGAGGAGAATAAGAGGTTCATTGCACTAAATCAACTAAATACAATCTATTAGGACTGACTGAAGCTGATACTAGCTAGTCCGCTACTTTAACTTGACATGCCGAAATCGACACAAACACACACCCCCAAAAAAAACGCGTACTATTCTTAGGAGTACAGCTTATGTGCCACCTCTAGTATTAGAAATATATATAGCGAATAATACTATAACGAAAACTGTATATGTATGCAACTCTTAATGTGTGCAAGGTTGTCTGTTCCAAGTAGATCAAAACAGCTGTGAAAAGAGGACTAATTTCAACTTAAAGAACTAATCACCAAATAAAACGCAATAAAATACCATGTAAACAAATAATTACTTAGAAACAAGATTCATTTTTTCTCTTGTTTTTTAATTACTAATAAATGAAGTTCTATTTCTTCAATTTAATTATGCCAAGATAAAAACGAATGTGTATGTCAAACGTATATAGGTTTATTTTTAAGACTCTTATCTCTGACTCTATTATTGCTTTAAGTAACGCAATAAGATCATGACAAAATTGTTCAATACAAAGAAATAGTTTTGAATATATGTATTCACATACTTTAAAACGAGATTTTCAATCTGAATAATTACCTCAAAGAATTGCAATCTTCCCTTATCTTTTCTCTTCGTTAATTGGTTATTTTAAAAATGTTGGTTGATACATTTGTTGTCAAATATGATCAGTAGATGAACCTATAAACTCCGTTTTTCTAATGTTGCCTACAATGTTTACATTAGTTAAATTACTAAAATTTCCCAAAGTCATCATTGGAACAATTTAATTATAAAACACAGTGGGTGAATACTGCCGTTGTGTTCCAATATACAGTGATACTATACAAATACAAATTATTGCAATTCAATGCACTGCAAGACAAATTTAATGGATAAAAGCTATTTTAGAGCATCAGATGTAATTAAATTTTTCAGTATACAATAATAAAAACATGAAAAGATTGGAATTCAAATTTTTTTCAGATATTTTCTCAATATTCAATCTTATGTAGTGGATTACAGATGATGCACATTTGTGAAAGACTTATTATATTAACTACACAACTGTTTTTATTTACAATTACTTTATGGTCAAATGACTCGCCTGGTTTGTTTGCATTTCATAACACCAAATAAAAAATTTTCCAGCTCTTTCACTCAAATTCTTAAATATTTGCTATATTGTGAGAGAAAATAGCATGGAGGAGAACACGTAGCAATGACATTTTATTTTTACATCTCTACATGAAAAATTAGTATGAGATGTCATTTCTAAATTGCGTGTGTACAATGAACTTCTCCATTTTTCAGCGGCATTATATAGACTCTTGTGCATATAGCTCCTTTATGATTTATGGCTATCGTTCAGACTTTAGCTTAATAGAGTGAATGAATGTGTAACGAGCGTTCACTTTGATTTATAAATATAAATTACACAATATAAACATGAGAAAAACCTGAAATACATTTCTCATCAGAAAGGAGAAACAACATTTCCTTATTTTTACTTCAAACACTGAATTAAATTTGTTTACACCATTTATCCACTTTACCGTTTAATTTGGTCATGCAACACTTATAGCGAAAGTTACTGTTTTTAACTTTTCATCTTAACAATTTTGCTATTATCGACACAATGCATGTCAATATCGTTAAATCATAAATGCATAGAAATCTCTAATTTATTTGAATCAACTTTCGCCATTTATAATTTGAAATTCTTTAATTGCACGCGAGATGTTTCACAACGGTATTTCAGTTCAATCTGTGTTTATATGCCACGTCGTATCTCTTCCTGGTATTTTTTTTGTCTATGCAGCTGCAATTCTTATGTAAATGTTGATGTTCAATATAAAATCTGTTTATAATAATCTTGGTAAATGAATTCATTAAACAGTTGTTATAAAGTAAAGAGGATATTTTGAATGGGAGACATTTATCGAGAACATTGCATTCAGTCCAAATTCTTGTTTATGTAAGAGAACACAGGTGGATTACATTTTATTTAAATAATGTAATGTGAGGTGTTCGGTGGACAAAAAGTGCTGTCAATGACTAGAATACAACACGTGATCAGAGAGAGTGCCGTCCTACAAAATCTAAAAACTTGATGAAATAAAGACGTGCAGAAAAGCAGAGAGAAAAAACAGATTAACGGAAGAAATGGGATGCTAAAACACTGTAGAAATTAGCACAGGAATTTAAAGCATATTGTAAATGCATAGCAAAATGTATAGAAAAGGGCATACATAAGATGATTTGTATGATGGAGTGGACACTACTGTAAAGAGAATTACATATGCAGTTTCAAAACATTGCAGGGAATATAAATGGAAATGATATGCAGAAGATTAGGATGTCATTGACGATAATTTTAAAAATATCGGAATTATGACAGGAAGATAGAAAGACTATTTCGAAGAGCTGATGAATGAGAAAAACGGTTAAATACAATACAATACATTTAAAATACAATGAACAGTTGCATTACAAAAAATAGGTACGCAGTAAGTACATGTAGGTAGCTTTTATTAAAAGTTGAGATTTAGAAATATGCTTTGCAATCACTGTTGAGTAAGCTCACTCTCGTAACCCTTTTTGCATTTGCCGAACGCCCTCGCTTAGATTACATGAATATTCTTATGTGCTCAAATGATGAAAAACGAATTCCTTAGAATTTCTTTCGAATTTTAACAACAAATTCACTGTCATTGTGACTGAAAACAATATTTTCTATGTGCCTATATATTCATTTGTACTGTCTATTTAGTTTTAAATATTGTCAATACAGGCTAACCACGATCATATAAACTCTAAAATAAAATAAACTATTTCTGATTTACATCTTCCTCGCTTGAGCTCTGTGAACAGAGAGTGACATGATCAAGTATTATCGAACTTAACTAAATACAATTATACAAGCACAGTGTATTAAACTTCATTCTTTGTTAACTTGTTAACAGAAGATTCATATGAATACACTTTTTAGCAAAATTTTTGGTGAAGTTTTACGTAACAATCTAAAAAATAAGTACGCGCAATGCGTACATGGGGGTAGCCTTCCTATGAACAGTTCAAAAGATACATATTTAACATGAATGCAAAATATGAGACATTTATAAAAAGACTTTATAATAGCATGTGTCGTAATAACAAAACATAAATTCAAATAATATCGTTTATAATAATAACTTTGTGTCAAAATGCCACAAAAAATTTTACCGTTATACGTGCTCATTGCCAAAACGGCCAGTAATTGTCTATACCTTCATTTGTAGTCTGTAAGATTTCGCTTAATTTGCATAATATGTGCTTGTGCTCACGTGCTTATAATGTACTAAATTTAGCTTGCCAAATTTGAAAAATTATTCGTTATTTTTTGCTACATTTGCGCATTAATTCATTTTTATTTTTTGCCGTTCTGTTAAAGTTCCATAATGTAGCATCTCCTCTTAAGGAGTGTGCGCTTCACTGCGTGTTGTGTTGATGAATATGCTTTAAGCGTCATAAGAGATGAAGAGCTGGTTTTTAGAAGTGAAACATTTGGAAGATTAGAAGTAGTCAAGGAAAGTGAATGAATACTTAGCAAAATGGTCGCCTGATACAAGCAGTGTTAGTTTGGAGCTAAGATACTTATCTATAGCGTAAATGTAGGAGTTTGATGATTAGACTATGAGATTTTCAAATAAATTTAGTATTGGATTCACCCAACTTTTATTTTGTAATCATTACTTCCACAGTGGATAAACTTCATTACCACAAATTCTAAACACTTGTGTCATATATTCAGGAAGATCATATTTTAATGCCTTCATTAAACGTTTTAATTATCTTACATTTGTTTATGTTTTAATTATCTTGAGTTTATCGTTTTGTTTCAGTTTTTCTTGCAATAATTCAGAAAGGTGAGCGGCTAAAATGGACGGATTCACTAATGGCAAAACTTGTTGAGCGTGATGCTTCAACGTTTGTTTTTTGCCAATTTTGTCTACAAGGTGCCTAATGTAACCGTTTTCTATAAATACATTGTGCAATATGGCTTTGCAAGTTGATGATACCTTTGTGAAGATATTTTAATTGAAAGAGAAAGATTCCATATAGCAATCATAGCACGACCAAACTTGTTGGCTACACCATTGTTCAGGTCCATATCAGGATTCTTTCACTTAGGGCATGGGAAGCTCTGGATGTCTGGATGTCTGGATGCCTGAATACCCACAATTTTTGTCGTGCGGGAGTTACTTGTAGGAAAGACATCCACAAATTTAGTTTCTTACTTGAACGTTTGCGATAGGTGTACCAAATTTTCAAAGTATTGAACGGGCACCAAGAACCAGGAAATTTTAAATAGTTTAAACATTGACAAATTGTGCAAGTCGATTGTATGTAAAGCACAACAACGGGAATTTTCGAGGACTGTTGTAATGTTTACTCGAAAAAGAAGAGAAAATGCCATTTAATATAACAAATATGAAACAATTTTATTACTATTCTAAGTTCCCTGCGTTGTAACATGACAAATATGGAACACCCACAACTCTTAAACGCTTCCAAAGCCTCTCTGTTGTCAGTTCAACGTCAAAATGTCCAAGACATAAAGATATGACTGTAAGTACGCAAAAACTTGAAAAAGGCCTAAGGACTAGCTTGAATTCAGAAAAAGACACGATAATGATTCACTACCAAATTTAAATGTTTAGCCAATACGAAAGTTGTAACCCAACAAAGTTATTGTACAAAAGGCCTAATAATTCCAAATACCTTTTAAACCTGTAAAAAAACTAATAAAAAATTTCGAAATATTACAAAACTTACTTTCGAAGTTCGAACATTTCGAAGATGCCTTGTTGCACGTGGAAACACTGATATCTATAAATCTCACATATTCTAGTCATTCTACAGGCAATTTGATTAGTTTTAACAAACCATACTATGGATTGGTGCTGAAAATTATAGGAAAGGACAAACCATTCATTTGGTTGTGGTAAACCACTCAAATTTTGTATTAACGATTGTTTTTAATAAGGTGAGAGGCTGTGATTTATAGAAGTAAAATATTTTCTTGTCATCAAACTTGTAATATTGTGTCAACTACAGATACTTGCAGGTTGCAATACTGACATTTTGTCGTTCAAAGATTGCGTCTACTGTTCTGTTACACATATTTCGTTTTGTTATTACGAGCAATTGAAGATATTGTAAATTTTTTTAAATAGAGCACAATTTAATCTAAAGCAAGTCTTTTTTGACAAATACAAAGCAGTGTGTTTCCTTAAGTACATTTCTGATTATAAATTGACTGTACTATTAATGGAGCGTTTGTTGCACATCAGATGAGAAATCGGTTCCACTGTAAAGTAAAATTTAGATGCACCATTCACATTAGAAATTTGCTCCACAATAAGTAAAAATTGGGTCAATTTCAGAGAAGAAATTTGCTCCAATACTGCTAAAGTAGGAACAAAATGTACCATCCGCAAAGTATATTGAAACCAAGTTAACAGAATGTACAGAAACTGAGTCTGAACTCTCATTTCTGTCATGTAATTCAATTCAATTTGCTTGCTTAGCTTTTACACTTGTGTTGGTTCTGCAACATTATCCATCATTTAAATATTTTGCAATTGATTGGTCATCTTTTACTCTTTTATATTGTATGATGCATATTTAATACATTATTGTTTGCAAGCCGAGCCTCAAGAAAAAACTCTTTACAAAAATGGGCACTCTCATTAAACATTGCAAAAATTATTATATTAATGATATGAAAAACAATCAACATAATTTGAGTTGTGTCAGAGTAAACATTTGATTGTAGATGTAGATCATCCAGGTTGGTAGAGTTCAGACAAGGACTGTTGGTGTTGATGTTGAGTGACATTTTGAGAACCTTAGTCACCTTCCCAGTTGACTCTAATAATGGCTACCACTAAGGTTGTCAAAACGTCAGTCGACATCAACAGTCCTTCTCAGGACTCTACTAACCTGGACAATCAACATCTACAAACATGTAATGATACTCCTGGGTTCAAACCAATTAATTTAGAGTAAAGATATCTTAATATATTGTACTTGTTAACATGATAGTGGTTATAAAGCTGAATAACTTTATTGTCTCTGCTCAAATACACAAATAGAATTAAGAAATAGTTATAGGAAATAGTTGAAGCAATAAATATCAAATTTTCTGTTAAATATATAGGTCTGGGTGATCTCTTTATGCTGAAGAAGTAGATTTCCTTTCTCAGACTTCCTAAAGAATGCTTTGGGGGTTTGTAGATTGGGTAGACAAACCACTCGTAATCATAAAACAACAACCAAAACTTCTAGAAATAGACTGTTGTTTTGGGCCAGCATAGTTGCAGGCTCCCGTGGAACTGGTGTAAATCTGCTTGATGGACAAAATACATTACATGCGCGATCAAAGTTGAAAGTTGCCCCACCCACCCCACCCCTGTACTCAAAGGATGATGCAGCCAAACATAATTCTTTGGCGATTAGTATATGGGTGACTTTTGAAGGTCAGGTATATGACATCACTCAGTTTGTGGACCAACATCCTGGGGAGAAGAAAATTTTACCGGCTGTTGGGGGGGCTATAGAACCTTTCTGGGCAATGTACAAAGTTTGGGCAACATACTTTGACGATGACGTTTCAATGCGTGGGAAATAGACGAGAGGAAATGAATGGTATTAAAAAAGTTAAAGGTTTGACTTGGGCTGAAGGTGCTATTGGAAACACGAAGTGGACTGGAGTCAAGTTAAGAGATGTTTTAATGGCGGCTAGTTTTAAAGAAAGAAGTGACTACACTGGAAAACATATACAGTTTGAAGGTTTAGATATGGACGTTTCAAAAGCTCAGTATGGTGCCTACATATCGCTTAGGAAAGCTTTGGATCCTAGCAGGGATGTATTGATAGCCTTTGCAATGAATGGGAGGATATCCCCAATAATCACGGATATCCCGTTAGGATCATAACACCCGGTGTTGTAGGTGCCCGTCAAGTGAAATGGTTGAGCAAGATTGTGATAGCAAACGAAGAAACTCGTTGTCATTGGCAACGAAACGATTACAAAGGATTCTCTCCCAGTACAGACTGGGATACAGTGGAATTTACTACCATGCCATCAATCTAAGATCTACCCGTGCAGTCTGCCATATGTGAGCCCGTGAACGGTGCTTTGCTCGAGGAAGGAACTGAAGAGTTTACTGTGAAAGGTTATGCTTGGAGTGGTGGTGGACGTGCTATCGTCAGAGTTGATGTTTCACCTGATGGAGGTGAGTGAGATATGAAAATATTGTTGGGTGAATTTTTGAATGTTTAGCGATGGTTTATAGGTTATCTCATTCAGGAGATTTTACTCTTTCGTTGATGAAAGATTTTTCTGCATAAATCTTTGAACAGAATGTATAACTGGATGTTTGTGCCTTAGGTTTAGCTGCATATGCCTGTTCTTGCATGAAGCCAAATTTAACCTACAACCGCGCGTCACATTTTAGCTCACTGGCATCAGCTGTATTTGCTAGTTTCAAGTTTTACCTTTCCTGTTATATTCAATTCAATGGTATTATCTGACGCTGCTCACGTTTTAAGCATAGAGTAACTCGCAAATATCAATATTGAGGATCAACTGTTCCATTAAAGCTGATGTCTCCACACTTTTCTCAATGTTACAGAGCTCTTCACTTTAAGTTTTTTTAAGGAAACAAGTTGACTTGGTGGGATCTTACATGATAACTCTTTGTTCTTCTCGTACAACAAACAGATGAGAGAGTAGTTTGTGTTGATAAATGTTTATGTCCCTTGGGACAACATGGCAGAAAGCTGATCTGAAGAAGACGGAGCCCCCTGATGGTAAGGCATTGGGATGGATTCTTTTGGTAAGTGACGACAACCGTGTGAAACTGTTGAGGTTTGTTGTAAGGCCATAGATTCTCCCTATACAATAATCAACCGGAAAGTGTAGCTTCAATATGGAACTTACGGGGGGTCCTGTCTTGCACAGGATAACAGTCACTATCCCCATGAGAATTAATACATTTGCAACGTCAAATTTAAATTTTGTAAAAACGTTAAAAAAATTAATGCAACATTTTAAAAACATTAGAACGTTTAACGTCATCTTCAAGCTTATGATGGCTTGCCTTCTTACGGTACGTCTTGTAGTAGTATATAGTTCCTTAGCAATTTTTATTTACCGTACAACGTTGTAATTTGAGCGTTATTTTACTTGTATCGACATTCATCATGTTAACATGACTGCTTGAAGTGTGTGTAAAACTGTCCTAAACATGTAAATTTGATTTTTAAAACTGCTTTTATGTTTGTTGCAATGGCGGGAAATATGCGAAGGCGTCTTTTTGTGATTTTTTCTCGTTTTAGTTGAGGTTTTTAAAGTGCAGATTTTCCTGTACGTCCTTGCTACAAAGTGCATGTATGTACATGAAGACTAATGAGTTGAGAATAACTTCAACGTGTTCTTTATTCAACAGATGCCTAACTCTTGAGATCCGGCATAATAAGTACTTACAACACTTTACCAAATTATTTATATCTCATCAAAGGTGAGTTCTCGATCCAAAGTTACGCCAAGATCCTTTCTTGATGGTATGAGAGACTTTCCCAGAAACTAAATAGACAAATCATCTGGCAGATTCTTTAGTCGTCGCGTACCAAATATAATAAACTTTGTTTTTTTCGGATTTATCAATAATTTATTCCAACCACACCATCTCACAAAGTTATCCAAGTCCCAGTTTAGCTTTTTGCGTCAACATACGATTCAGTATTAGCAAATTTGGGTATAGTTACTAAATGATTAACCCTTGTTGTAAGATTGTTGTGCTTCTTACATTGAACATGCAAATAATTGCTTTGGAACGGTACTTTAGTACAATACGTGCTTTGTTTTCCTATTTAATGATTTACATATGCAGCTGCATTCTCATGTTTATTATAAGACAACCATCTACTTCAGTAGAAGAATCGAACATGTATTTGTATTGTTCGTTTTAAGCCGATGTGTGTATAAAAGTATAAAGGCGATGAAAGTTTAATAGGAATTCCGCCACTCGAGTAGTGTGAAAGATAAAATTTGTCGTAGTTTGATGATGATTCAATGATTATTCAATTGAATGATGATTCAATTCAAACGGTGTTTTTGATCATTAACGATATGTTAGTTATCCTAAGTAACTGTGTTACAGCTCTATGACTACGTATCTTTTGATGGGGCTCAGTAAAAAATGAAAATTCAAAAATATACATTGTTCATAGAGTTGTTTATAAAGATATTGTTTAATATAGCATATCCCTAACGAATTCTATATTAGTTTATAATACTCTCGGACACTCCCCATTAATTTATCTTATTTCCTTATTATTGTTGTAATTTATGTATCATATTACTTTTATATTAACCTTGTATTACTTATTATTTCACTGATACTCAAGATGGCATCATAAGATGTCGAAACATGTTTATTTAAAAAAACGCGTCGCATACATTAAATGCGAATTCTGTATCAATGATTTTGTGATGCTGGTAATATAGCAAATATTTAAGAATTACCTATCTACTTAAATTACCTGAATCAGTTCAAAAGCTATATAATAGGAATAATAGAGAAATGAAAATAACAAAATTAGGATACCTTGTCGAGCCCCTACAATGCCATTTACACTGAAATCAATAAATATGATTGGACAAAACTGCGATTGAAATATTAGATGGCAACTTATAAAATCCATTGCAATGCATAATATTTGAAGCCCTTATTTTTTTCTGTTTTAAATGCGAAAATCTAAACACATCAAACGAAATTGCATGCATGAAACTTAAAACTTATATTTTATATTTTTTATAGTTTAATTTTGATTCCTTCTTTGAGCCGAATATTATGGTAATAAAAACAATGAATTACATTCATGTAAAAAAGTTTGAATGAGTGTTTGGATCTGAACAATTAGAATAAACACAGCTGCACGTTCATATATTTTGAATTCCTAAGTTAAAAAGCTTTCCTGCGTATATCAAAGACAGTGAAACATAATATTAATTTTAAATCGCAAGGATTAATTAACAAATGAAATGATGCATTAAAGATCATATAAATAGCTATACACTTTAGTTAAAAGTGAGAAGAAATGTTGCTTCTTTTATTAAATATTCAAGATCATGTTTACAGTAAACTTTATCATAACGCAATATGTAAAGAGAGAACACACATTAAACGTAGTTTATTTCTATTCAAACTTTTTATCCCAACCTTATTGGTTTTATTTACACAAAGATCACTTAAATGTGCTTATTTCAAATATCTATAATTGACTTAGCTCTAATATTGCCAAATCTATTTTGAAATTCTTTCATATAAATCTAGCAGTTTAAAGACGGTGCTTTTATGAAGTAACAGAAAGACTACGTTCTGATTTAGTTCTTTTGAACCATCGTAAAAAAACGAAATTTGCTACTATATATTCACAGTGTCATCTTTGATGTGTTAGTTGGTTGTTTTTTCGGTATCACCATTTGAAATGGACGGCATATTTGATAATTAAAATACCTCAAAGTCACCACTTGAACTTTTTAATTTAAAACGCAGTAGGTGACTCCCATAGTGTCAAAATGAACAGCGACACTATACAAATTCGAACTATTCAAATTCAATATGTTGCTAGGTAAGTTCAAAGATTAAAAGCTTTTTCAAAATAATATTTAACAAAGTTTTTCGGCATAAAGTGATGAAATTAACATGGATGTGTTGATAATGTTCCGAAATTTGCATCTTGTATACACATACCATCGGTATTGACTTTACAAAAGATTAAAAGATTACTTGTAATATACGTTGGTTAACATTTGAAACAAATATTACATTGATATAACTGTCTGTGTTTACAGGTACCCCCCTAATCAGATTGGACGATTTGTCAAGTGTAATATTTCATTTCAATTAAAATCACCAATTACAGAAATTTTTCATACTTTTCGCAATAAAGTTTTGTCTCGTCATGTGAGATGCACGTACGTGAGGCACGCATGATAGTGTACTTCAATTTTTATATTTTTATGCACTGAATTTACAAACAAATATTTTACATTTAAAAGTGTTCATCATGACTCCAGAGTAAAATAATTACGCATTGCAACATCTTGATGATTGGTTTGACCAATTTTATTATTGTCTATACGAGAGCACAATTCTCCCAGTGTGTTGAATGGGTGTTCAATAAATTTCCTTAGCTATTTATAAGTTCTATTTTTTAATCAGTAAACACGATATTTCAATGAACAGTTGTAGCTAAAATCGAGTTCAAACGTCATTTCCAAATTTTCTTCATCAAGGGACTTTTTATCCTACAACTAAAAGCTATATGGTTTACAAATCGTAGGTTAAGATCTTGTGCCACTGCAAACTGTAAAAGACCTGAATTGTCTTTATTCAAAAATTACAAAAGAAAAAAAATGGGCGCACTTGGTTGAAATTTGCAGAATAAAGAAAAGCTTATAATATTTCTCAGATAAAATAGGCCCTCATACTGCTGGAGAGACTCGCTCTATATAATCACTCCATATGTAATCACCTATGTAATTGCTAAAAACGTAACTCTAGCATTGGAGATAACTCGCCTTACTGGGAATGCTCGGTCCATGTAATTAGGTTCTTAGCTTTTATTTTATTAAATTGCTAAAGAGGCTCTATGTTGAGTTGTCAATGATTCTAATAAAGTTAGTAATGAATTCGATCGTGTCACTCATACAGATTTTTAATGGTACACTCATAAATTGCATGCACACTACTCTTAAAAATATTTCGTAGAGTCATTCTTGTATTCGGAAAATGCTTCAATTTGATTGGCTACTCTACCCGCTATCTATTAGAAAGCATAGTTAGCGAGTGGCGAAAGAATTGGGTTTCACCGTTTTGGGTTTCACCACTATTATTATTATTATTGAAAAACATATGTAAACGGTAGGGCTTGTAGGCACCTGCTTTTTAAATGACCTTATAATTTCCACATATATAAATTTTATTACATTAGAGGTCATTAATAAATTGTGCTATTAATTGGCTATTATGAATGCATACAGGTTTAATGTAATTCATACTATGAGAAAAAAAATTATTAATGATGCAATACAAACATTACATATTCAAGCCATACTTGCAGGAGTGAGTTTTACACTAAAATGTTTTAAATAATTTTTGCTGGACGTAAGTGCGTAAGCTTATGTAGGGTTATTATAATCATCGATTAAAAGGACATATAAATGATAAAATCTGCAATCACTCCCAAGTTATCATCAACGAGTCCAATAAATAATTTTCATGCAAAATTCATAAAACAACATGCCAAAATTTTATTGTCGACTTGAAGTTGTTAAATCAAAAACTATCCGAATGATCATTCATCTTTGATAGCAAGGACTTGAGTCCATTCGATACTAGGAATAGCGTTAGATAAAAATTTGCTAAAGAACTTTGCGTAAATTTTTTCCAGATACTTTTTTACCCAATCCTGAACACAATTTTCGTCAATATCAGTCTTGGGAATCGCATCTAGCGAGCTCCGAATGTTAGGCATAGAGGTAAAGCACACTTGAATTTGATATTTGATGTCTTTGCTTATCTTTTTCGTAGCCTCAAAATGTTTTTTCTTTTTTCTTTCATTAGTATTTTCAGGATCAGGAACATTCACTTTGCTCTCTACGCTCACTATACTGTTTTCGCTCACGTTGCTCACTTTGCTCGCTTTCCAGCAGTTTTCTATATCTTTGTGAATGTTAGAAAAGAAAGTAGCTATTCCGTTAATACTGGTGATGAAATTGCTCAATGCATTTAACATATCATTCATCTCGGTTGAAAAGTGTTCTTGCAACCATTTCTCTCTTTCATCTTTCAATAAAGCTGCTTCATTTAACCATTTTCTTTCCATATATCTATTGTACATTTTAGTAAATGGATTGCTACTGTCAGTTGCTTTCTGTTCACATAATTGCGCTTTCTTTTCGAGGTCTTCTATACTTTTTTGGAATTTGTGTTCGGACTTCATTATTTTGAGAAGATTTTCTATCCGCACCTTATTATCTTTTGCTACTGACGTTAACTTCTCAGCTAGCAATCCAACTAATCGTGCATTTTTTGCGTTTTCCTCAACATCGTTAAGAATACCTTCTATTTCCTTTTTCCATTCTTCGTACGTATCATCGTACTCTTCAAAGAAATTCTCGATATACGTTAACATTTTTTCCGTTAACGGTAGGAGAACTTTTAAAAAAATAAATGCATCATTTCTTACTTGTTTTTGGATTTCCTTAAAGTCGTCAACATACTTGTCTTTAACTGAGCTGGCTAATTCCATGTAGTAAATAGAGTGAAGACATTCAGCAAAATTCTCCACTTTCGGAATATTTTTAAGATGGTTTAGGAGACGTATGTGCAGATTTTCAATTTCCTTCTGTTCATCTTTGTCTTTTGCCGTTGCCATTGTCTTTGAGTTACCTATTGTGAATAAAAATTTGATGATGTCATTATTATGGTCGATAAATTGAGCGTATCACACACCTCCTTTAACAGTTTTTAGTTCCCAATCTGTGAGCTGATTAGAGTAAGGAAGATAAAAATGCTGTAAGATAATTCTGGGGTGTAGCACCGCCTCTCAATAATTTCCAAATTTGAAAAGGTCATCAAAAATGTAAAAGATTTGGTTTCTGCACTAAGATTTGTTAAATAATTTTGTTGTGTCACTAAACGAAGTAAACAATATATTGTAATTGTCTCTGATAGTTGATTTTCACAATTGATAAAAAGTCATTTTTAGCTTATGTCAGTATTTTCAATGATATTGTGATACAGGTGATAAATTAAAATTTCAAGAAGCTGGTTGAGTTACCTGAATCAGTTCAAGAGTTTTGTAAATTCTTGATTGTGTTCGGAACAGTTGTGCTGAGCTTCTCTCTTTTTTTAGGAATAATGTAGAAATGAAAATAAGGAAATAAATAAAGCTTGTCGAACTCCGGCAAAGTTGTTATGATTAAAATGTACTTACGCGATTGGACAAAAAAATGAGTGAAGTATTTTATTGGATGAACCACATGCCCCCCTTAATTGCTAACAACATTTCAATATGAATATTGAATGCATGATTTCAGCTACACAACATACCGATGAATGTTTATAAAAGTTATCTAGTTTTCTCTCAATTGATTATTTTCAAATTCTTGTCAAGTAACTCTAACTCGCACATTTTAGTAGAAAAAATGCACATGCATTTTGTGCAGCTAAAAAATGACTGTGTGTAGGCTTACAGTTAATGTCTATCAGTTTTCAAAACTGGAATCTATTGCAATAAACAAGATTTGTAGATTTTCTTTGATTTTCTCTTAAGAAAAAATCCAAAAATGGCAAATGTGATTGATTGCATGAAAATTGATACTTCAATAGAAATTTTGCCGCCGTGAGTTAATTGATAGTTTTGTCAAAACAACGAATTCCACACACTTGAAATTCCTGTTATATTTATAACTACTGATAATTTTTTAAGATTATGCGTCGCCGCAAAAGACAGCCTTCTTAATAGTTCGTGTTTTCCTATTCAAAGACC